TCCATTATACTGGTTTACATGTAAAAACCCTATTAAGTTGCATTATACTGGTTTACATGAAAAAAACCCTATTAAGTTGCATTATACTGGTTTACATGGAAAAATCCCTATTAAGTTGCATAATACTGGTTTACATGGAAAAATCCCCATTAAGTTGCATTATACTGGTTTACATGGAAAAATCCCTATTAAGTTGCATTATACTGGTTTACATGGAAAAATCCCTATTAAGTTGCATAATACTGGTTTACATGGAAAAATCCCCATTAAGTTGCATTATACTGGTTTACATGGAAAAATCCCCATTAAGTTGCATTATACTGGTTTACATGGAAAAATCCCTATTAAGTTGCATTGTACTGGTTTACATGGAAAAAACCCTATTAAGTTGCATTATACTGGTTTACATGGAAAAAACCCTATTAAGTTGCATTATACTGGTTTACATGTAAAAACCCCTATTAAGTTGCATTATACTGGTTTACATGGAAAAATCCCCATTAAGTTGCATTATACTGGTTTACATGGAAAAATCCCCATTAAGTTGCATTATACTGGTTTACATGAAAAAAAACCCTATTAAGTTGCATTATACTGGTTTACATGAAAAAACCCTATTAAGTTGCATTATACTGGTTTACATGGAAAAATCCCTATTAAGTTGCATTATACTGGTTTACATGGAAAAATCCCTATTAGGTTGCATGATTACACTGAAGTCCTTGAAACTGCTGAAGTCCTTGAAACTGCTGAAGTCCTTGAAACTGCTGAAGTCCTTGAAACTGTTGAAGTCCTTGAAACTCTTGAAATCTTGAAACTGCTGAAATCCTTGAAACTGTTGAATCCTTGAAACTGTTGAATCATTGAAACTGTAGAAATGTCTGAAAGAGCTGAAGTCCTATTAAAATGCATGGGCCTATTAAAATGCATTGCAGAATTCTCAATGCAGATTTTTGTCCGATTGCGGAAAAACCGGAAATCGCTGAAGTCCCAAAAGTAATAGCAATAATCTCCCAAACATGTGGAACGTTTTGATGTATAACTTGTGGAAATTGTTGAAAATGTGAAAGCTGTGAAACGTGTCAAAAAAAATGACGGAATAAAGAAATACAAAACCAATGGTTGACTGCGGAAGGTTCCGCAGTCAATCAATAAAATGCTAATATATGCTTATACTTAATATAGAATATAAACTCAAATGAATCTCCCCAAACATCCCCTCTTCTGGACCTGCCATGGTTCAGGCCATAGGGTGGAGCCTGGAGGTAACACCCTCAGCTGGAGTGGGTGGAGTCAGCTCACAGGAGTGTGAGCTCCAATTGTGAGGGAGGAGTCAGCCCTCACAGACTGGAAAACAGTAAACAAATGTCACTGTGAAATCGATCGACTAAAACAGTTTCAAAACAAGTGCAAATCATTAAAGTGCTCTGTTCACACTGATAACAGCCTGTGGATAAAAACTGTTAGCGTAATGAGATGTCCTGCATCTCAGAGAGTGATATCTTCTGCCAGAGGGAAGAAGCTGGAACATGGCTTTCCCAGGGTGGCCAGAAGAGTCATTAACAATCCTAAGAGCTTTGTTTAACAGTCTGGATTTATAAAGAACCTCCAGAACAGGAAGCTCACAGCCCACGGTCCTCTTTGCAGAGCGGAGCACCTTGTTTAAAGCTCTCTTTTCTTTATCTGTGATGTTTCCAAACCACACAGACACAGAACCAACAAGTAAACTCTCAATGGTGCAGCCATAAAAGTTAAGCACAATCTTAGAGTTAGTGGTAAATTCTCTAAGTTTACGCAGAAAGTAGAGACGCTGACGAGCTTTCTTAACGACTCGGTCAGTGTTTTTAACCCATTTCAGGTCGTTAGACAGAGTTAAACCCAGAAACTTGCTCCTCCACGATCTGCCCCTGGGAGTTGTCGATTACGACAGGCAAATGAGAACTATTGTGACTGAAGTCGTAGACCAGTTTACATGTTTTGGATGCGTTCAACTGGAGGTTGTTAGTTTGACTCCACTGAACCACATTTTGTATCTCTGCTCTATAAGAGGATTCATCAGTGTCACTGATGAGACCGATGATGGTGGTGTCATCAGCATATTTGATGATCAAGTTTGAGTCAGAGGAGGACACACAATCGTTATTGTACAAAGTGAAAAGCAAAGGACTCAAAATACATCCCTGAGGAGATCCAGTGCTCACAGAAACAACATCAGAAAAACAGTCATTGATTTTCACTCTCTGAGATCTGTCAGTTAAAAAGATAAAAATCCATTTACACATGGCAACACTTAAACCAAGAGACATGAGCTTTTCAATCAGTTTACCTGGGACAAGGCAGTTAAAAGCAGAGCTATAATCGATGAAAAGCATTCTGGCCACAGATTTACTAGTGTCCAAGTGACTGTAGACAGAGTTCAGAGCAAAGGAGATGCATCCTCCACACTCCTGTTCTGTCTGTAAGCAAACTGGAGCGGGTCAACACTCACAGGGATCTGCCTCTTAATGAAGAGCCTATCTCCACCGTTCTAACTAATGGGCCAAAAAATTGGGCTTTCATGGAGTGATTCAAAATGGCCGAGGGGGCTGGAAAATGTGAAAAAACGCACCTGCGCATGCGTCAGCCGGCACGAGCCCCATTCATTTAAACGAGTGACTTATACATACATGAACGTATATACTGTTGTACATACATGTACATACTACTGTACATACATGTACATACTACTGTACATACATGTACTTACTGTCTTAAGAATCATATCTTTTCCAAAAGAAAGACACGTCATAGTTTCCACAGTGAGTCAGTATTTGGCTCTTTGGGCTGATCTAGAACTGACTGAACCAAACCAGGACAAACTAGAGACTGAACCAAACCAGGACAAACTAGAGACTGAACCAAACCAGGAAAAACTAGAGACTGAACCAAACCAGGACAAACTAGAGACTGAACCAAACTAGGACAAACTACAGACTGAACCAAACCAGGACAAACCAGAGACTGAACCAAACCAGGACAAACCAGAGACTGAACCAAACTAGGACAAACAAGAGACTGAACCAAACCAGGACAAACTAGAGACTGAACCAAACCAGGACAAACCAGAGACTGAACCAAACTAGGACAAACAAGAGACTGAACCAAACCAGGACAAACAAGAGACTGAACCAAACCAGGACAAACTAGGGACTGAACCAAACAAGGACAAACTAGGGACTGAACTATATCCAAAGTCATTTAAACTCTATGCACAGAGGTGATTTTATTTATATGGCGCTTACGCAGTATCAGCTGTTGCATTTGGGGAGACAGTTTCAATCACCATCTACAGTGCCTTTCGAAAGTATTCGGTCCCCTTGAACCTTTCAACATTTCGCAACATTTCAGGCTTCAAACATAAAGATCCATCCATCCATCCATTTTCTTCCCCTTAATCCATTTCTGGGTCGGGGGGGTGGCAGTCAGAGCTGCACCCAGTACACAGAGCACCAGCCCCTCACTGATCTTCCTGCAGGTGGTGAGTCCACAGGAGCTGAGATCTTACAGCGGGGGCTTCAGGCAAAGTAGGGTTAAGTGTCTTGCCCAAGGACACAACGACAGCAGTCATCAGTGGGAGTCGTGAAGTAGGTCTTGAGGTGGGCTTGAACCCACGACCCTCAGGCTCAAAGGCCAATGCTCTACCAACTGAGCTACTGTCGCCCTAACATAAAGATATAACATTTTAACACTGCAGATAACTACAGCTGAGGTGGGGATGGTGTGTTCAGGGTGATGAGCTGTGTTGCTTTTACGCCAAACATATCGTTTTGCATTGTGGCCAAAAAGTTTGATTTTGGTTTCATCTGACCAGAGCACCTTCTTCCACATGTTTGGTGTGTCTCCCAGGTGGCTTGTGGCAAACTTTAAACCAGACTTTTTATGGATATCTTTGAGAAATGGCCACTCTTCCATAAAGGCCAGATTTGTGCAGTGCACGACTGATTGTTGTCCTATGGACAGACTCTCCCACCTCAGCTGTAGTTATCTGCAGTTCATCCAGAGCGATCATGGGCCTCTTGACTGCATCTCTGATCAGTCTTCTCCTTGTTTGAGATGACAGTTTGGAGGGACGGCAGGGTCTTGGTAGATTTGCAGCGGTCTGATACTCCTTCCATTTCAATATAACTGCTTGCACAGTGCTCCTTGAGATGTTTAAAGCTTGGGAAATCTTTTTGTATCCAAATCCGGCTTTAAACTTCTCCACAACAGTATCTCGGACCTGCCTGGTGTGTTCCTTTGTCTTCATGGTTCTCTCTGTGCTTTAAACAGAACCCTGAGACTATCAAAGAGCAGGTGCATTTATACGGAGACTTGATTACACACAGGTGCATTCTATTTATCATCATCAGTCATTTAGGACAACATTGGATCATTCAAAGATCCTCACTGAACTTCTGGACTGAGTTTGCTGCACTGAAAGTAAAGGGGCCCAATAATATTGCACGCCCCACTTTTCAGTTTTTTATTTGTTAAAAAAGTTTAAATTATCCAATAAATTTCGTTCCACTTCACGATTGTGTCCCACTTGTTGTTGATTCATGACAAAAAATTAAAATTTTATATCTTTATGTTTGAAGCCTGAAATGTGGCAAAATGTTGAAAGGTTCAAGGGGGCCGAATACTTTCGCAAGGCACTGTATGTCAGCGTCTTCCTGAAAACAAAAGCCACAGAAGTCTCTTTGCTTCTGTGGATTTATTATTTGTTTGAGTAGATTCTACACTCGAAATAACTCATTTATTGGTGTAATATAAATGACTCAATTGTAAAAATAGACATGCATCCAAGCGGAGGCTTCAGGCAAAGTGGGGTTAAGTGACACAATGACAGCAGTCATCAGTGGGTAGGTCTTGTGGTGGGCTCGAACCCACGACCTTCAGGCTCTAAGGCCAACCAACTGAGCCACTGTCGCCCGTAAAAAAAGACAAATAACATTAAATCCAATATCAAGAGAAATCCAGTACTAGTTGTTCCAGTAAACAAGGCTCCTACAGGCGTAGCTCCTACAGGCGTAGCTCCTACAGGCATAGCTCCAACAGGCGTAGCTCCTATTGGCGTAGTTCCTACAGGCGTAGCTCCTATAGGCGTAGCTCCTACAGGCGTAGCTCCTATAGGCGTAGCTCCTACAGGCGTAGCTCCTATAGGCGTAGCTCCTACAGGCGTAGCTCCTACAGGCGTAGCTCCTGCAGGCGTAGCTCCTATAGGCGTAGCTCCTACAGGCGTAGCTCCTATAGGCGTAGCTCCTACAGGCGTAGCTCCTACAGTCGTAGCTCCTGCAGGCGTAGCTCCTATAGGCGTAGCTCCTACAGGCGTAGCTCCTACAGGCGTAGCTCCTATAGGCGTAGCTCCTACAGGCGTAGCTCCTACAGGCGTAGCTCCTATAGGACACGGGCTGTTTTGCTTTCCCACATGGTATTATTCACACATGGTGTTTGTGAACTACTACTGAAGTCACAGCTGCCCTGGAGCAGACTGGTGAGAGCGAGGCGGCCATCCAGCCCCTTGTCCACCACACCAGATTCATGGGCAAATGTGGGTAACGTGTCTTGCTTAAGGACACAACAGTAGTTAGAGTGAGCAGGTGACAGAGGCTCACGTTTCTGATGCAGATGTGAAACAGATGGAGGTCAAACCTCACAGACGAGGACCTCAAGGGTCAGGGTTTACAAGGACTTCATATTTAGTTATCATATTCAAATCAGGGCTGTCAAACAATTAAAATGTTTACTCGAGTTAATTACAGCTTAAAAAATTATGAATCGTAATTAATTGCAGTTGTAACTATCGTCAAAATGATGCCATTTCTGTAAATGGTTGTTTGAATGGAAAGATTTAAACATTCTGTCTTTCTGTAGTAGACACGTTATTCTAATCAGAGTTTAGGCTACACACACGGAACACAGTCTGGTCTATTTTGGAGCCGGAGTCGAGTTACAGAAACTGAGACGTGAAGCGACAGAGTTTAAACTGTGTTTGAAGTGGACCATCGAGGAGTTGTTTTTATGGTGGAAATAGACTTTAATAAATTCACTTATAATTTTAAGAAACATTATTTGTGATTACATTTCAAGCCTAACATAAGCAATAAAAAGGTACAAATGATTTTTAACCCTCACAAGGAAACAGGAACTAACCTTATTATTATATTATTATTATTATTATTATTAACCCCAAACTGAGACATTTCAGTGTTGCATCACAAAGTTACAGAGCAGTAGCAATGAGAAGCACACAACAACAACCCAACAATCTATAACTTCAATTATAAAGTTAAAAAAGGTTTGTTAAAATTATACTTTTTTTCTGGTTTATAGTAAAGTATCCATTATTATGGGATTCCCAGTGCATGATGGGATTCCCAGTGCATGATGGGATTTCCAGTGGATGATGATATTCCCAGTGGATGATGGTACTCCCTGTGCATGATGGTATTCCCAGTGCATGATGGTATTCCCTGTGCATGATGGTATTCCCAGTGCATGATGGTATTCCCAGTGCATGATGGTATTCCCAGTGCCTTATTCCCAAAGCAGCACTAAAGTAAACATAGCAAACACATCCTGAATGTGGCTCTGACCTGGAACGACCGCAGTATTTAAAGCCACAGAAGGTTTTACACAAATACATGAGTCACTTTTATCCATAACAGAAATAACTCACAGCATCATGTTCATTCACACATCACCGTGACAACATGAACTCACTCTAACAAAACACAAACGAGACCTCCCACTCTGTGAGGTGGTCTCAGAGGAGGTCCCAGAGAAGGTCAGAGGAGGTCCTAGAGGAGGCCCCAGAGGAGGTCCCAGAGAAGGTCAGAGGAGGTCCTGGAGGAGGTCCCAGAGAAGGTCAGAGGAGGTCCTGGAGGAGGCCCCAGAGGAGGTCAGAGGAGGTCCCAGAGGAAGTCCCAGAGGAGGCCCCAGAGTAGGTCCCAGACCCACAGAGTGGGAGAATATTCAATGGAGAACCTCTTTTTGTATTATGTTTTATGTCGTTATTCAATTTTCTTCAAAGTGGAAAAGATAAGAATTCCTTTATTCGTCCCACAGTGGGGAAATGTCGATGTTGCATCGCACATACAGGACAGTAGTAAGAGCACACAGGGAGCACACACAATATATACACTATATACCAATAAGTAGTAGCTATGTTTCTTAACTAACATAACTAGCTGTAGATGCTGAAAAAGCTTCAATACCAGTCAAAAAATATATATGTGGGAGTGGCTATATACTGTACAGTTAAATAGTGCAGGATAAAAAGTATATAAGTAAAGTGACATGAGGTAAAGTGACATTGTTCTGTGACATCCTGAAGTTGCAGTATTGCACATTGCACATGATTTAAGAATTTACTTAATTACAGATGAATAATTAAGTGACTCCCCCCTGGACTGCCACCTTAACGTGGTGGGGGAGTTTGAGTACTCGGATGATCCTGGGAGCTATGCTGTCTGGGGCAAAAACCACCATGGACAGCACAATAAATAGACCAGTGATGTCGCCCGGCATGGCGCAGCCGGGGCCCCACCCTGGAGCCAGGCCTGGGGTCGGGGCTCGTATGTGAGCGCCATGGTGGCCGGGCCTTAGCCCACGGGGCCCGGCCGGGCTCAGCCCGAAGGGATGACGTGGGCAGTCCCTCCTGTGGGCCCACCACCTGCAGAGGGGTCCGTGGTGGCGCGGTGCAGAGAGGACTGGGCGGCAGTCGAAGGCGGAGACCTCGGCGATCCAGTCCGCACACACAACATCTGGCTCTTGGGACGTGGAACGTCACCTCACTGGGGGGGAAGGAGCCCGAGCTCGTGAGGGAGGTTGAGCGATACCGACTAGAGATAGTCAGCCTCACCTCCACACACAGCTTGGGCTCTGGAACCCAACTCCTTGAGAGGGGTTGGACGCTCCTGGGGTGGCCATTCTCATTGCCCCCCATCTCAGCCGCCACGTGTTGGAGTTCTCCCCGGTGAAAGAGAGGGTCGCGTCTCTCCGCCTCCGGGTGGGGGACAAGTATCTCATTGTTGTGACGGCCTACGGGCCTAACAGCAGTGCAGAGTACCCGGCCTTCTTGGAGTCCTTGGGAGGGGTACTGGACGGTGCACCGCCCGGGGACTCCTTTATTCTCCTGGGGGACTTCAACGCCCATGTGGGAAGCGCCAGCGACACTTGGAGAGGGGTAATAGGGAAGAACGGCCCCCCTGATCTGAACTCGAGCGGTGTTCAGTTGTTGGACTTCTGTGCCAGTCACAGTTTGTCCATTACGAACACCATGTTCGAGCACAAGGGTGTCCACCAGTGCACGTGGCACCAGGACACCCTAGGCCGGAGGTCGATGATCGACTTTGTTGTCGTATCATCTGACCTTCGACCGTGTGTCTCGGACACTCGGGTAAAGAGAGGGGCGCAGCTGTCAACCGATCATCACCTGGTCGTGAGTTGGATCCGCTGGCAGAGGAAGAAGCCGGTCAGACCTGGCAGACCCAAGCGTATAGTGAGGGTCTGCTGGGAACGTCTCGCTGAGTTAGACGGACTTTCAACTCACACCTCCGGGAGAGCTTCTCCCAGGTCCCGGGGGAGGAGGGGGACATGGAGTCCGAGTGAACCATGTTCTCTGCCTCAATCGCCGATGCGGCGGCTCGTAGCTGTGGTCGCAAGGTCTCTGGTGCTGGTCCCGGCGGCAACCCCCGAACCCGGTGGTGGACACCGGCAGTAAGGGATGCTGTCAGGCTGAAGAAGGAGTCCTACCGAGCCATGATGGTTCGGGGGACTCCTGAGGCAGCTGTCCAGTACCGGCAGGCCAAGCGTGCCGCGGCCCGGGCTGTTGCAGAGGCAAAAACCCAGGACTGGGAGGAGTTCGGAGAGTCCATGGAGCATGACTATCGGTCGGCCTCGAAGAGATTTTGGCAAACCATCCGGCGCCTCAGGAGGGGGAAGCAGTTCTTTGCCAACACCATGTACGATGAGGGTGGAGAGCTGCTGACCTCGACTGGGGATATTGTCGGGCGGTGGAAGGAATACTTTGAGGTTCTCCTCAATCCCCCCGTCACGTCCTCTGTTACAGAGGCAGAGGCTGAGGATGTTGGGGCAGATACATCCATCTCCCTGGCTGAGGTCATCAAGGTGGTTCGCAGCCTCCATGGTGGCAAGGCGCCGGGAGTGGATGAGATCCGTCCTGATTATCTAAAGTCTCTGGATGTTGTAGGACTGTCTTGGCTGACACGTCTCTGCAACATCGCGTGGCGATCGGGGGCGGTGCCAATGGAGTGGCAGACCGGGGTGGTGGTCCCTCTCTACAAGAAGGGGGACCGGGGGGTGTGTTCCAATTATCGTGGGATCACACTCCTCAGCCTCCCCGGTGAGGTCTACTCCAAGGTACTGGAGAGGAGGCTACGGCCGATGGTCGAATCTCGGATTCAAGAGGAGCAGTGTGGTTTTCGTCGAGGTCGCGGAACACTGGACCAGCTCTATACTCTCCATCGGATACTCGAGGGTTCATGGGAGTTCGCCCAACCTGTCCACATGTGCTTTGTGGATTTGGAGAAGGCGTTCGACTGTGTTCCCCGGGGTGTCCTTTGGGGGGTTCTCCAGGAGTACGGGGTCGGAGGTCCTCTGCTGAGGGCCATCCGATCCCTGTATGACCGGAGCCAGAGCTGTGTTCGCATTGCCAGTCAGATCTGTTCCCGGTGAATGTTGGCCTCCGACAGGGCTGCCCTTTGTCACCGGTTATGTTCACTGTGTTTATGGACAGAATTTCTAGGCGCAGCCAGGGGTCGGAGGGGGTCCGGTTCGGAGACCACAGGATTTCATCTCTGCTGTTTGCGGACGATGTTGTCCTGTTGGCTCCAACGAACCAGAACCTGCAGCATGCACTGGGGCGGTTTGCAGCCGAGTGTGAAGCGGCTGGGATGAGAATCAGCACCTCCAAATCCGAGGCCATGGTGCTCGACCGGAAAAAGGTGCCTTGCCCTCTACAGGTGGGTGGAGAGGTCCTTCCCCAAGTGGAGGAGTTCAAGTATCTCGGGGTCTTGTTCACGAGTGAGGGAAGAATGGAGCGTGAGATTGACAGGCGGATCGGTGCAGCGTGCTCAGTGATGCGGTCGCTGTATCGGACCGTTGTGGTAAAGAGGGAGCTGAGCCGAAAGGCAAAGCTTTCGATTTACCGGTCAATCTTCGTTCCCTCCCTCACCTATGGTCATGAGCTTTGGGTAATGACCGAAAGAACGAGATTGCGGATACAAGCGGTCGAAATGAGCTTCCTCCGCAGAGTGGCTGGGCGCTCCCTTAGAGATAAGGTGAGGAGCTTAGTCACACGGGAGGAGCTCGGAGTAGAGCTGCTGCTTCTCCACGTCGAGAAGAACCAGTTGAGGTGGCTCGGGCATCTGTTCCGGATGCCTCCTGGACGCCTCCCTGGGGAGGTGTTCCGGGCACGTTCCACCGGGAGGAGACCCCAGGGAAGACCTAGGACACGCTGGAGGGACTATGTCTCTCAGCTGGCCTGGGAACGCCTTGGGGTCCCCCCGGACGAGCTAGAGGAAGTGTGTGAGGATAGGGAAGTCTGGGCGTCTCTGCTTAGACTGCTGCCCCCGCGACCCGGCAACCGATAAAGCGGAAGAAAATGGATGGATGGATGGACAGATGATTATTGTACAGTCTGACAGCAGCAGGAAGGAAAGACCTACGGAACCTCTCCTTCACACAGCGAGGGTGAATTAGTCTGTCACTGAAGCTGCTCTCCAGAGCAGAGAGAGTGTCCTGCAGGGGGTGACAGTTATGGTCCAGCATAGATGTTAGTTTGCTCAGGACCCTCCTGTCCCCCACCTGCTGCACTGTGTCCAGGGAACAGCCCAGGACTGAGCTGGACTTCCTGATGACCTTGTCCAGCTTCTTCCTGTCCCTCTCTGTGATGCTGCTGTTCCAGCAGACCACACCGTACAAGATGGCTGATGCCACCACAGAGTCATAGAAGGTCTTCAGGAGTGGCCCCTGCACTCCAAAAGACCTAAGCCTCCTCAGTAGGTAGAGGCGACTCTGGCCCTTCTTGAAGAGGGCGTCTGTGTTATGAGTCTAGTCCAGTTTGTGGTTAAGATGAACACCCAGGTACTTGTAAGAGTCCACTCTCTCGATGTCCTTTCCCTGGATGTTCACTGGAGCGGCAGAATGACGTCTGCGGAAATCCACCACCATCTCCTTGGTCTTCCCCGCGTTGATGAGGAGGTGGTTCCGCTGACACCAGTCCACAAAGTCCTGTATAACTCCTCTGTGCTCTGTGTCATCTTCCTCGGAGCTGAGTCCGATGATGGCAGAGTCGTCAGAGAACTTCTGTAGAACACAACCGTCCGTGTTGTGTCTGAAGTCCGCAGTGTAGAGGGTGAAGAGGAACGGTGCAAGGACAGTTCCCTGGGGGGCCCCCCACACTGCAGGTCAGGACCTCAGACACGCAGTCCCTGGTTCTCACAAACTGGGGTCTGTCTGTGAGGTAGTCCAGGATCCACTGGGACAGGCCGTAGTCCACACCGGCTGTCTCCATCTTGTCCCTGAGAAGCCTCGGCTGGATGGTGTTGAAGGCACTGGAGAAATCAAAGAAGAGGATCCTCACAGTGGAGCCGGGTTTCTCCAGGTGGGACAGGGAGCGATGGAAGAGGGAGATGATGGCGTCCTCGACTCCGATGCCCGGCCTGTAGGCAAACTGCAGCGGGTCCATCGCTGGGCTCAGAGTGGAGGAAGACTGTGGTGGCATGACAGAGGTGTGAACGATCGTAGGTGTTGCCCTTTGTTCCGCTGCCGGAGTGAGGGGGAGCGTCTGCGCAGGGGGAGGGGAAGGCTGGTCAAAGCGAGCGAAGAATGTATTTAGCTCGTTTGCCCACAGCTGGTCTCCTGTGGACTGACTGGGGGGTGTTTTGAAGCCTGACATGGATTTGAGGCCTCTCCACACCCCCCGCACGTCCTGCCGAGCCAGTTGCTCCTCCATCTTCCTCCTGTAGATGTTTTTAGCTGCGCGTATATTCCACCTCAACTTCCTTTGCGCAGATTTAAGGGCTTCCTTATCCCCTGACTTAAAAGCCCGCTTTTTGTCCTTAAGCAGAGCTTTGATGTCAGGGTTGATCCACGGCTTATTGTTTGGGAAACACCGTACGTGCGGGCAGGTACGGCGTTCTCAAAACAAAAGTTAATGTAGTCCGTGATACACTCTGTCATGGCATTAATGTCCTCCCCGTGTGGGTCACAGAGCTCGTTCCACAGCGTTGTGTCGAAACAGTCTCTGAGGGCCTCCTCTGTGTCCACGTTCCACAGCTTCACCACACGTGAGACAGCAGGATGCCTACGCACAACCGGCTCATAAATGGGCCGTAGATGGACAATGTTGTGGTCGGCTCTTCCCAGGGGGGGAAGGGCAGACGCGGTGTAGGCATCCTTCACATTAACAAAGAATAAATCCAATTTCTTACTGCCTCGTGTGGGAAAGGTGATGTATTGGGTGAAGGACGGGAGAGTAGAGACTGGAGAGGCGTGATTAAAATCCCCTGTGATGATAAACAGGGCCTGAGGGTGCTGTGTTTATAGACTGCTCATGGTGGAAAAGAGGCTCTCACATGCATTGTCAGCTTTGGCCGAAGGGGGTATATGTAACAATAACGTGACTATACTCCCGTGGCAGATAGTATGGACGCATGCTGTTAACCAAAAGCTCAATGTCTATGCAACAAACCTAGCTCTTTACTGTGCAGTGTTCTGGCTTGCAGTAGTCCGTATTCACAAACACAGCCAGACCCCCGCCTCTCTTCTTCCCACTCGCGGCTGTCCGGTCCGCCCGGATCATGTGAAATCCATCTATTTCCACATTAGAGTCCGGATTATCAGAGGTCAGCCATGTCTCTGTGTATATTTGGAGGCTGCAGTGTTTATATTCCCTCTGATAACGCGTCAGGCTGGCCAGCTCGGCTGCCTTGTTGGTCAACGAGCGCACGTTCCCGGTGGTAACGGAGGGCAGAGCGGGTCTGGATCCTCGCCTTCTCCCTCGTACTTTCTGCCCAGCGCGGCGGCTCCTGCGCGTCTTAAGCAGCAGCTCGTCCGGGATGTTGTGTCTGTCCTCCGGGAGCACTACGCGGCCTTGCAGCGCTAGTAAGCTCTCCCTGGATACGAGATAATGGGCGCGCGAGGCACTCGGGGCACACTCGGGCAGCTCAGACACATAGTGTCCAATCCAGTCCCAAAAACATGGAGAAAGTTGGAAAAGACTCTTCCCTCTACTGTGCATTAGCCTCATGTAGCTATGTGTTCAAAAATATTTACAAAATCAAGCGTAAAAAGTGAAAAAGGAGCGAAAAGAGGGGGAGCGCGATGCAACAGGCTGCTGGCAGCTTGCCTGCGCCTCACAGCCAAACAGCCAAAAGTTGCCAATTTTAGTGACTTTGAACATGTTAAAGATAATCTCCAAACCGCAGTGTCATAAATATGTCATAAGTATGTTATTAATGTTATTAATGTATAAATATGATAATAAATAATAAGAATGCATCAGTTTTTTTACAGTGCTTTTCAGACTCTCAAAGTTTCTTCACATCATCATCCTTTCACTCCAAACACGGTGGTGATAAACTACTACTGTAGCCACAGCTGCCCTGGGGCACACTGACAGAAGCGAGGCAACCAGTCTGTGCCATCGACCCCTCCCACCACCACCAACCATTCACACACACACCAGACTCGATCTAATGTGGGGGAAGTGTCTTGCCTAAGGACACAATAGCAGTTTGGCACTTTACAGCCACAGCCGCCCCACTGTGGCACCTGCTGTTCCCAGAGGTTAAGTGTCTTGCCCAAGGACACAACGACAGCAGACATCAGTGAGAGTTGGTGGAGAAAGTCTAATGGTGGCCATGAACCCACAACCTTCAGGCTCAAAGGCCAAAGCTCTACTGAGCCACTGTCGCCCCAAATATGTTATAAATATGTCATAAATATGTCATAAATATGTCATAAATATGTTATAAATATGTTATAAATATGTCATAAATATGTCATAAATATGTCATAAATATGTTATAAATATGTTATAAATATGTCATAAATATGTTATAAATATGTAATAAATATGTAATAAATATGTTATAAATATGTCATAAATATGTCATAAATATGTTATAAATATGTTATAAATATGTCATAAATATGTTATAAATATGTCATAAATGTCATAAATATGTTATAAATATGTCATAAATATGTTATAAATATGTCATAAATATGTCATAAATATGTCAAACATGTTATAAATATGTTATATGTTATAAATATGTCATAAATATGTTATAAATATGTCATAAATATGTTATAAATATGTTATAAATATGTCATAAATATGTTATAAATATGTTATAAATATGTTATAAATATGTTATAAATATGTTATAAATATGTCAAACATGTTATAAATATGTTATAAATATGTTATAAATATGTCATAAATATGTCATAAATATGTTATAAATATGTTATAAATATGTTATAAATATGTTATAAATATGTAATAAATGTTATAAATATGTCATAAATATGTTATAAATATGTTATAAATATGTTATAAATATGTTATAAATATGTTATAAATATGTCATAAATATGTTATAAATATGTCATAAATATGTCATAAATATGTTATAAATATGTTATAAATATGTCATAAATATGTTATAAATATGTCATAAATATGTCATAAATATGTTATAAATATGTTATAAATATGTCATAAATATGTTATAAATATGTCATAAATATGTCATAAATATGTTATAAATATGTCATAAATATGTTATTAAAATGTTGAATATGTCATAAACATCTAGGAGTATCTGGAACCTTTCAAACCAGTCTCACAGTCAGGTTTTCGTTCCAACACACCAGACTCCAACAGTCAGTGGCTGCAGGTTTTCGTTCCAACACACCAGACTCCAACAGTCAGTGGCTGCAGGTTTTCGGTTCCAACACACCAGACTCCAACAGTCAGTGGCTGCAGGTTTTCGTTCCAACACACCAGACTCCAACAGTCAGTGGCTGCAGGTTTTCGTTCCAACACACCAGACTCCAACAGTCAGTGGCTGCAGGTTTTCGTTCCAACACACCAGACTCCACCCATTTCCTCAAGTGAGTCCAGTCTGAACCTGAAGACCTGAGGCTGCTGTCTGCTCCTGTTCTTGGAATGAATTCCTGCAGCTACAGACTCTGTGACCTCATAAACGTATACAAGTAACTTCAACTGAACTTCGACTAAACTTAGACTAAACTTAGACTAAACTTAGGCTAAAGCTATGCTAAATGCTAAATGCCTCACTCACTCGGGCTCATTACAAATGTCACGGTAAATTCAGAACCAATGGTTTCAATCTGAAAAATAGCTAACCCCTCCAACCTTGGAGTCAATGGAGCAAATCCATCCATTCATTCTTTAAATCCATAGGTTTCATTTCACTCTTGTATAAAAGCAACAACCTTTTGAGTCTGATTGTGATGAGGAGAGTTCTGAATAAACACACTACGTAATTGAAAAGTGTGTGTGTGTGTCTGTGTGAGTGTGGCTGTGTCTGTGTGTGTGTGTGTGTGTGTCTCTGTCTGTGTGTCCGCGGTGTCTGCCAATCACATCAACAATATTCATTCTGTAAACAAAATCCAGTTCATCTTAAGACCACCTTCCAGACAGACCACGCCCACCTGTCAGACACACCCAGCTCAGGCTAACACCAGACAGACCACGCCCACCTGTCAGACACACCCAGCTCAGGCTAACACCAGACAGACCACGCCCACCTGTCAGACACACCCAGCTCAGGCTAACACCAGACAGACCACGCCCACCTGTCAGACACACCCAGCTCAGGCTAACACCAGACAGACCACGCCCACCTGTCAGACACACCCAGCTCAGGCTAACACCAGACAGACCACGCCCACCTGTCAGACACACCCAGCTCAGGCTAACACCAGACAGACCACGCCCACCTGTAAGACACACCCAGCTCAGGCTAACACCAGACAGACCACGCCCACCTGTAAGACACACCCAGCTCAGGCTAACACCAGACAGACCACGCCCACCTGTCAGACACACCCAGCTCAGGCTAACACCAGACAGACCACGCCCACCTGTCAGACACACCCAGCTCAGGCTAACACCAGACAGACCACGCCCACCTGTAAGACACACCCAGCTCAGGCTAACACCAGACAGACCACGCCCACCTGTAAGACACACCCAGCTCAGGCTAACACCAGACAGACCACGCCCACCTGTCAGACACACCATGCTAACTCCACGCCCAGCTCATTTACCTTTATACCTCTCCCGGACGTTCTCGTAGGCCTGCACATAGTCCTGCTCCTCTGGCTGCCTCTGTCCCGGGTCCAGTATGGAGACTGGCTGCTGACTCATAATATTCCACTTTTATTTTTAACAGCTTTATCTCCAAACTTCACAGATAAGTGTCCTCCTGCTGCTGCTGCTGCTGCTCCTACTGCTGCTGCTCCTGCTGCTCCTACTGCTGCTGCTCCTGCTGCTCTTGCTGCTGCTGCTCTGTCCTGCACCAGCCTGTGCCCACGTCCCAGTCCCACTCTTTCCATCTACAGAAGTGTATTTGAGGCCTGTACCACTCCCTCGTGCGCTTGAGAAATACCCCAACACATGTTGGGACCCTCCCCCTTAAAGGCACAGGGGGGGGGGTCCCAAATGCAGAAAGTTTAAGAAATGTTTTATCTAGAGCAGAAGAAGCAGTGGATTCTCCTTTTTAAAAACACTGTAAACTCAGGACATTAAAATAGAGGCGGCGTGTGTCATGTTTCCACAACATCTGACGTCACAGCGTAACCCCAGACCCCTCCCTGCAGACCCCTCCCTGCTGACCCCCCCCCAAACCATCAGTGAAAACATCAGTGAAACATCAGTGAAACCATCAGTGAAACCATCAGTAAAACCATCAGTGAAACCATGTCACATGCTCCTATTGTAGCTACAGCCTGATGATGTCACATGCTCCTATTGTAGCTACAGCCTGATGATGTCACATGCTCCTATTGTAGCTACAGCCTGATGATGTCACATGCTCCTATTGTAGCTACAGCCTGATGATGTCACATGCTCCTATTGTAGCTACAGCCTGATGATGTCACATCATGCTCCTATTGTAGCTACAGCCTGATGATGTCACATCATGCTCCTATTGTAGCTACAGCCTGATGATGTCACATGCTCCTATTGTAGCTACAGCCTGATGATGTCACATGCTCCTATTGTAGCTACAGCCTGATGATGTCACATCATGCTCCTATTGTAGCTACAGCCTGATGATGTCACATGCTCCTATTGTAGCTACAGCCTGATGATGTCACATGCTCCTATTGTAGCTACAGCCTGATGATGTCACATGCTCCTATTGTAGCTACAGCCTGATGATGTCACATGCTCCTATTGTAGCTACAGCCT